TCATTGTAATTCCCATTAAAATAAGCAACCACTTTGCCCTCTGAATTTTTGGAAATTACATATGAATCATAGTAAAGACCCTCTGGCCGGAACTTTCTGGCATTATAACCGGAACTTCCGGCCAGCCCCTTTGGCCTATCAGAAGCCCAGAACTTCCTGACAAAATGTCCGGAACTTCCTGTCTTACAGGACAGGAACTTCCGGTCATTTTGCCCGGAAGTTCCGGGTGTCTGACCAGTGAGGGGACAAGTCATCTCACTTGCTTGTGGAGCATTTCCTTCTCTTACAAACATCAAGCATTCTTTCCCATTTACCATCACACGCTTAGACACAGGACTTCCACTAGAAAACCCGAGCCCGTGTCCATCCTTGTTAGGATGAGCGGTGATGGTCTTGTAAAGGGCATCTTTTGAATGGTATGTCTTCATGCATCCATATTTCACCAATGTGCCCAACCTTTCATTCTCTTTCTTAAGAGCTTGCATAGCATCAACATTAGTAGCATGAGAGTTCAAATCAATATTGTAACACCTAGCACAACCATTGCTAGTAGATGGGTTGGAAGAATTAGAAACCACATTTGGTTGAGAAGTGCTATTCCAAAGAGTGTCAAATTGAACTTCAAGATCTTTATGACTTTTGTCTAAACTAGCAAACTTCTCTTGAAGAGTTTCATTGACATCCCTAAGGCTAGCTAGAGAACCATTAGCCAAATTAAGCTCATTAGCTAGTTGTTCATTTTTAGCACATTCTTTAGCTAGGCTCTCCTCTAAGGCAAGGTTTCTTTTCTTCTCAAGAATAAGTAATTCTTCTTGCCTTTCGAGAGATTGTACTTTACTATCCAAAGCTCTCATTAACTTAGCCAAATGTTGCATAGCGGGTTTGCTAAAGCTCTTAAGCACATCATCTAATTCATTATCACTTTCCTCATCACTAGAATCAACATCAAGAGAGGTGTGAGAGGGCTTTTGAGTCATCACCTTGCGGCCTTGGGCCATGAAACAAGAGTAGTGGTAGGAGTCGTCGTCGTCATCACTCAAATTGTTGAAGAGACGCTCCTTGCTTGAAGAAGATGACTTGAAGGCAACGGTAGCAACACCACCTTCTCCTTCAACCTTGTCTTTTAGCTTGGGCTTGGGCTTGACCTCGGGATCTTCCTCATCTCCGGAGTACCACACCTCCGCCATGTGTGCCTCTGCCACATGAGCACGCTCCGGCTTCTTCTTGCCTCCCTTAGCCTTAGCTTCATTTGACTTAGAACAATCGGCAATGAAGTGGCCATATTCACCACAATTGAAGCAAGCTCTCTTTGATTGCCGCTTTCCCTTGTCATCATCCTTCCTCCGTTTGCCATAGCCACTCTTGCGAAGAAAGTGCTTGAATCTCTTGACAATAAAAGCCATCTCTTCATCTTCACTTTCTTCACAACTTGACTCTTCTTCTTGTTTTGCCTTCAAAGCAACTTCTTGATTTTTGATCATGGCAGCATTCTTCACCATTTGCCTCACTTCACGAGCTTCCTCTTCTTGCATCTCATGAGACACAATTCTTCCAAGAATATCGCTTGGGGTGAGCCTATTGAAGTCTTTTCTTTCCCGTATCATTGATACAAGAGTGGGATTTCTTGGACCAAAAGCACGGAGAAGTCTCTTGACAACAAAGTGATTTGTCATGTCCCCACTCCCAAGTCCTTTGATCTTGTTGACAAGAATCATCATCCTATCATACATCTCTTGTGGTGTCTCCTTGTCATCCATCACAAATCTTCCAAGCCTTCCTTCCAATAATTCAATCTTGGCCTCACGAACGGTAGGTGATCCCTCTTGAGCCAATTGCAAAGTATCCCATATCTCCTTGGCCTCCTCAAGCCCATCAACCTTGTTGAACTCCTCCAGACTCAAGGCGGAGAGAATTGCATTGGAAGCTTGAGCATTGCGGTGGATGAGTTGCTCTTGCTCCGAAGTGAGCTCCATGTCATCATTAGGTACATCAACACCTATACAAAACAACTTTCCAAATACTTGGATGCAAAGAGATTAGATGCAACTTCATCTTGTGCTTCCAAGCGGCGTAATGTGTCCCATCAAATTGAGGAGCACGCCCAGAAGGCACGGAGACAAAGTTGTGAGGGGGAATGGTAAGTTTGCTGTAATCAAAAGGTATAGTAGCTCCCTTGGGTGATGGAGTTTCCTTGCTGCTCGCTCCATCTTCATTTCCATTTTCCCCGTTCTTTCCCCCTAAGTCCGACATCGTGGATCACTCAAAGCGGTGAAGCTTGAATCAAGAGCATATCGCTCTGATACCAATTGAACGCGCTGATGAAGCCTAGAGGGGGGTGAATAGGCTGTCCCTGAAAACTTAAAAACAAATCGCAGCGGTAAATTCCAAACAGACCCGGAACTTCCTGGTAAGGAACTCCGGAACTTCCGGCCTCCCAGGCCCGGAACTTCCGGTGTTCTAAGACAGGAATTTCCGGGTAACAGAATAGAGATGAAATTCAAATTTCGAAACAAAAGACTAAGCCAATCTTCACAAGATGGTGCACAGGTATTCTAAGCAGAGGATATATCACAGAATCATCCATAGAAACATCACAGAAAGAGACAAGAGCAATTTTTTCCCGAAGTTCGGATCTTGCGATCCTACTCTCCGTTGAGGAGCTCCAAAGAGCTGGGTCTCGATTAACCCCTTGCCTCACTTGTGCAAAAACCCCAGAGGAAATCCACAACCTTCAACCCCAAACACCCCTAGGCAAATTTCTAGAATTGAGTGACCACCAAGATCCAACTCAACATACTTCTAGAAATCCACCACAAGTGTGGGTTGCTCTACTTGAAAAGCCTCTAGAATCTCAGCACAAGAACTTCACTAACTTACCTCGTTCCCTTTCGGAGGAGAGGAAATCCTTCACAAACTTACACGGGACATCCACAATATGTAACGGATTCTCGCGGGCGATACCTAACCGTCTAGGAGATCATCTCTAAGAGTAATAAGCACCGAGATGACAGCCCACGAGATATTCCAAGTGCTCACCCAAGATCCTAGTCTTCACACATCTCCAAATCTTCTTCTCTCCCTCTCAATCTCTCTTTCTCACAAGAATTAGGCTCTAGATTGAGTGGAGAAGGCAAGAAACACTTGGGAGAGGCTAGCAATAGCTCTAGGTTTGAAAAGTGAAAGTGGAATGGCCAAGGAACGAGCTGGAAACGAGCTGTATATGTATAACGGCTAGGTGACGTCATCTAGCCGTTACTCACAAATTTGAACTGGAAACTAGACAGGAAGTTCCGGACCTGGAAGACCGGAACTTCCGGACTACACTTAGGAAAATCTTTTTCACAAGACCGGAACTTCCGGACCTAGAAGACAGGAAGTTCCGGACTTGCATTTTTGGACAGATGGAGTATTTGCAAAAAAGACTCCTAGGGAAACTTGACACTTGGTTCACACTAAGAGCACTTGATATATCTCAGAGCATCACATGGAACCCCTCTTAATAGTACGGTTTTTCCTAAAAACTCGATTTCAAAAGATAAACTATCCTATACACTTCTCGAGTTCCGGTCCGCTTTGATTTTGTACTTTTTGGGGGTCTCCAAGCATCCATCTTCCACACCTTGGACTAATGCACCTGAAAGTCACTCAATGAACTCATTAGTCCCTTAACCACATTTGTCATTAATCACTAAAACCCACTAGGGGGATTAATGCACTTTCAGATGAGATCAACTAGCGACTTGGCCTTGTCGAGATGAACCCGACGAGATCAGCTAGCGACTTGGTCTCGAGTTCTCCGGATTGCTTCTACTATGGCTGGTGTTGAGATTATGATTCGATGATCCCATACCCTCTGAGGGTCTTATATCTATACCCTTGGCTTCCAAGTAGAACTCTGAGAATACCTTATTTGTACGAGATCACAGAGTTCACTCGCTCTCGGAGTAGGATTCTAACACCTGGGGGGACGGCTTCCTGGTAGATTGTGGGCCCCCGGTTTTACACACCGGAAACCCCATGTGTCTTACAATACCATTCCCTGGATCACTAGATGGTACACACATAGCATAGTTGTATATCACAAGCTGACATCGTTATATAGGTTGAACTATACATTAATAATAATACAAGGATAGCCCAAATGGGACCCAAATAGACCGAGCATGGTCATATACAATACAAAATACCAGAAGAAGTAGATGAGATAGCGGAAGCGAAGCAGCGGCAGTCCAACGTACTCCACAGGCATCGACTGGTGAACCTAGGTCCCGACTCCACCATCTTCGACATCTCTTCATCAGCATTGTTTCCGAACAGTCGACTCCAAGTCCTTTCTAAAAGATTTAGTTAAGCAAGGGTGAGTACCAACCGTACTCAGCAAGCCACCACTACAGGATGCATTTAGTGCACACAGGGGTTCAAGGATGGCTTGGTTTATTTGCATAAAGCTAGATTTCACAAATCATTTCACAAACCTATGACCTAGCAGTTTTAACTGAAAACAACGTTAAGTGGAAGTTGTCATTAATCCGCGAGGGTTTATCCACCTTCCCCAAGCCTCGCTTGGTCCGGTTTACCCTCGCATCCAATTTTCCACACTTCCAACATCAACATGACCTTCCCGCCCATCGGGCAAGGTCACACCACTTTCCTCATCTAAGCAAGATTAAAATCTATGAGACTAGTCAAGTGTAGTACAAGTCCCGGTGCTCAATAACCGCGAGCACGGTTATTCGAATAGATTTGATTTACTCACACTGCAGTGGATGTACGCTTTTAATCCCGCACTCCGCGGCTTGCCCAACACATGAGCCTAGTCCCAACACACGAGACTTGCCACGGCCCGGTTTTTCAGTCATTCTCGCGTTTCGGCACTCGCTCCAAGGACTATGGATCCCCATTGCACTCCCGGCACAACACACCACCTCGAGCCGGCAGTGAGGAGAGTCCTGGCGCTCCCGGGATCACAATGGGTTATATTACATATAGGTTAGGTGTGTTTTAAGTTTTGCCGGCCTTAACCAAACGATCGATCCACTCGATCCTTCACCTCCATCACGTCACCACTTCAGAACCACCATGACAGGGGTGCCACCCCACGAGAATTCACTTAGTCCACCGGGTCTATACCCACTCGAGAAGTGCGGTCGTACTCTGATCGTTTCCTGCATAGCTTCTTGACTCAGTCCTTAACTGACCAGGGTCGGCGACTAGCCGTTTCCAGAACCACCCATATTCTATCCATGCCGCCCCAGTCGAAAACATTTTGTTTAATTAGGTTTTTGGTTTTCGCAAAGGTTTTTACTGCGGGTGGCGCTCATGTCTCCACCCGCCTTCTGGCAATCACTCTCGACGAGTGACCGCTACCAACACATCCATACCCAACTATTATGGAGTGTACAATCTTCTATAATTATAAGCAATACTAAGCAATGTCAATAATTGACCACGCATAATTAATAGACTCAGGCAACAAGGATATAATAAAGGTAACAATATCAAGGAGGGGTAGGTACGCATTTTATAATTAGCATGCAACTTTATTTATAAACAAAACATTTATAAACTGGGTTCAATATGTTCAAGGAGGGGAGCGTAGTGACTTGCCTTGCTTTTAGAAACCGATATCTTCGAGAAATCCACGATCGACGAATAACCGGAATACCCGATACGCGGTTAGCACGAGAAAACCATATAAAATCCTCTAAATAAAGTACCAAACATTAGTGCCATTGGATAGATCCCGATTTTAGAAAAATTCCGAAAGTTGAACGGAATCAATCGGAGTCACGGTTGAAAAGATATGAATTCCCGAAGATTAGATGATTTATAAATCGAGGGGGAAGGAATACCCAAAATAGGATCCCTTTATTTTGAGGAAATATCCCCATGGTTGCCCTCTGGATAGGAGGAGGTAGAAAGGACTTATCCTTGGGTGAGCTTGGGCTTCAACCCAAGGATACAGGAGGTCTAATAGGGAGGTATTATGGACTTTCAGAGAGGAACTTGGGTTCTGGAGGGATGTAAAATAGACTTTTCGTAGGAAGGAGTTTCTGGGCTTGGATAAGGAAGTAGGGGAGGAGAAATAGACTTTTTGGCAGCAGTCAAGGTCACGAGATGGAGTCAGCACAGTGGGCTCCACTGGTAGGTCCCACGACATTTACTTTTTCCCTTTTTATTTCTTTCTCTCTCGATTCTTCCTCTTCTCTTTCTCTCTCTCTCGTTCCCTTCTCTGATTTCTCCTCCTCCACGCGAGTTCCAGAGAAGAAGGTGCCTGCGGCGGTGCCGGGCGCAGCGGTTGCCTGGCGCGGGGCGGCGCGCCGGGGAGGAAGGGAGTAGCGCCGGCTGGGAAGAGGAGGCCGGGGCGCCAGCGGCTCGGGCCGGGTGGCGCGGCAAGAGGCGGCACGGCGGCGCTCGGTGCGGCGGCTTTCGGCGCTCGGTGCGCGACGTCACGGCCGGCGTCCGGGCGCGGTGGCGCGGAGGAGAGGAGGAGGTAGCGGTGCTGGGAGCAGAGGAGGTGGTGGTGGATGGGGGATGGTTCGCGCGGCGACGACAGAGGTCGTCGGGGTGGCGTTCTACCCGGAGCGGCGGCGCGTGCACCGCGCGGTGACGGCGCGGCGCGGCCGAGCGCAGCGCGCGAGAGGTCGGCGGCCGAGAGGAGGTAGCCTCGTGGCGGGCGACGCTCGTCCCGATGCGGCGATGGCCCGGATCGAGGCGGTGATAGCGACGAAGGTTGTGGTGGCTCCCTTGTTGGGCGGAGGCAGGGGTGGCCGCAGGAGGTGCCTGCGCGGTCGTCGTGGCCGTGCGCGGCAACTTCAACAGCAGCGATCGAGCGCGGCGACGGCCTCGATGGGTGCCCGTCCAGGTGGAGATGGAGGCGGGTGGCAGAGAGGGGAAAAGGGGTGGCTGGCTGTGGTGGGGAGAAAACAGCACGAAGAGAAGGCTGCTCCTGGCGATGGTTTTGCTTGTAATGCCAATGGCTTCGAGGAGAATGATCGGCACAGTGGTGGAAGGGCGATGTGGCGCGCGTCCATAGGTTGGACGGCGGCGGCGCGGGCCCGGGTGTCGACATCGACACAGTGGAGGGGAGGTGCGAGGCGGGCGGCGTGAACGCAGCTCACGCGGACGCTCGTCTGCGGCCGATGGAGAGCGAGGATGCAAGGCGTGGACGAGGAGTAGCGACGCTCACGCGGGCGACGTCCTGGGAGGCGGCGAAGTGACCATCGGTCACAAGGCTTCCTTGGAGCACGTGTCGTCGGCGGATGGGTTGGACGGCGATAATGTGAGCCCCGAGTGTCGACATCGCTACAAGAAGGAGGCTTACAAGGTAAGCTTCGCTGTAAACTAGCTCTCCAATTCGGTGTGAGCTCCGCTCTTTCTTTCGGCGTGAACCATCCTCACTGTGTCTTCGGTGTTTGGGGGAGGACTTGGTGAACTGGGAGTTTGCAGATGAAGAGAGACGGACGTCCTCATCCAGGGAATGCCAGGGCATGGCTTCGGTGCACGGCGGGGTGCGTGCGACGCACGGGGAGGGCGTGCCTGCGACCGGCGCGGCGCACGGCCGGGGTTTGGTGGCTCGGTGCAGGAGCGCAATGCGGCGTGGCACGGCTCGACGCGACGCGGCGCACGCAATGAGGAGGAGCAGCGCGGCACGACGCGGTGGCTCGGGGGCCTGGTGCGCCAGCCTTGCCCGACTCGGCATTTTGCCGAGCACGTGGCGGGCGGCGTGTCAGCCTGCTGGCGGAGGCAAGGAAGGAGGGGGAGTAGACTTGGCTGCAAGATGGAGGGAGAGCTGGAGAGGGAGTAAAGACAGACTTGTGCTGGGGGGTGAGTTGGGCTGACCGGAAAAGGAGGCCCAACAGAATGGGGACTTTTTGTATTTGTAAGGATTGGAATTGGGAAGAATTTTGTATTTAGAATTTGTAGATGAACTGTATATTTGGACATTTGGTTTGGCTCTGGGTTGAAACCTTGAATTGTGGTTTGGAGCTGTAAATGGAATGTTTAATTTGGGTAATTGGATTGGATTCAATTCAGCCGTTCAATCGCCCAAGTATTTAACTTAGGTTTTGTCACATCCTGATTTTCGTTTCAGGATTTATAAATTATTTAATAAATTATTAATAGAATTTATATTAAATGATCTTTAATTTACAAGTGAAGTTAAATGTGGGAAATAAAATTTCCTTAATATAAAGCATGGATGGATTTAATTTTTATTAAATTCTCCATGATTAAGTCAACTCTCTGAAATTTTCTCGGATTTTTCAGCTCTCAATTCCTAAATGATACAAAGAACAGTTCAGTAATTATTTGATCAATAATGATCTAATTATAATTGTTAAGAGCTTTTCTTGTTTAAAATCCTTAAATTATAAATTGTTGTTTAAAAGGAATTATTAGAAATGATTTTAAAAGCCTAAAAGAGAAGATCTAATTTTAATTTGTTAAATCTCAATATAAAATGGGGCCAGATAAAATTTCATTAAATACTTTGCTTAATTCTATAATTCCTAGATTTTTCTAGGATTTATTTGAGCTAAGGAAGTATTTTTAATCAATGGAATTGCATTTCATGAATAATTTTAATTGAAAAAGGTTTTAAAAGTCTTCTTTTGGCTTTGGGCCGAAAGCCGGCCCAAAACCTCTCTCTTTCCTTTTCTTCCTCCCCGGCCAGTCGGCCCAAGTCGGCCCAGTCCGCGCCGCCGCTCTCTTCTCTCTCTCAGTCGCTGACAGGTGGGGCCCATCTGTCGGAGCCGTCTTCCTCGCGCCGCCGCCGCCGCCCGAAACCCTAGCCGAGCGCCGCCGCCGTCTCCTTCCAAAATTCGGTCGACCCTTTCCTTCTCCGGCCGAATTGATAGAGGGGAAACGATCCTCTCGATCTCCTCTTCCTTTTCTCTTTTGGAAGCATCGGCTAATTCGGTTTGGAAACTCGTGGATTCGAAGTCGAATCGGATCCATCTCTCTCCTCCGAACCCCGTTCTTTCCTTTCCGTCGCCGGCAGCCGTGGGCCTTCGCCGTCACCCTCCAACCCCTTTAAAAGGACCCCCGAGCTCTCCTCTACCCGCCGCCACCTTCGCCTTCGCCTCTCGTCGCCCGTAGCGCTCTAGCGCCGTGTGCCCTAGCGCCGCCGTCGCCGCCGTCGTTCCAGCCGTGCGCCGCCGCCGTTCCAGTCATCGTCGTCGCTCGGGGAGATCGCCGTCGTGGTCGCCAAGTCGCCGCCGTCCTCGTCCGCCTCTTCGTCGCCGCCGAAGACCGCCGGAGCACCGTCGCCGCCGTCGACCCGATCTCCGCCGCCGCTTCTTCCTCGTCGCCAGCGTCGTCCGTTGCTTCTCCGCCGCTTCTTTGGTTACCGGTGAGTTCGCCGCGTCGCCCTCTACCCGTTGGTGCCCTCCGTTCGCGTCGCCGCGCCGTCGTTCGCCGGCGAGCATGCGCGTCCGAGCCGCCGCCGCCGGTGGTGACGTCATCGCCGACGTCATCGTCCCCGTCTCCCGTGAGCCGGTCGTGGACCGTTCGATCTCGGCCGTCCGTTTTGGATAGGATCGATCTCGGCCGTCCGTTCCCGTGAACCGCTGCCGTGCACCCGGTCCACCGCAAACCCTAGCCGCTGACGCAATAATCCTCCTTTTCCTTTTCAAAAATAATTCATTATTGCGTCATAATTCAATTAAAATCCATATAAGTGTTTTAATCCGATTTAATCTTTAAAAATTCATAACTAATTCATCTTAGCTCAGTTTAATGTGGTTCAAGTTGCAAAAATTATATAAAATAAAGATCTACATATTAAAATTGTCCATAAATTGAATTAAATTTATTTAATTCTTTTTAAATGGGCTTTAATTAGATTTAATCTTGTAAAATTCATAATAAATTCATTTGAAGTCAGAATGAGGCCGTTCAAGTCTCATAATTCATCTAAAATTATGATCTACATGTTTGTTTACTTTTTATGTATTGTTTATTTGATTTTTATTAGTCTTTTTCTTCGTTTTGCGTGTTAGCTTGTCGTTTCCGTCGTTGCGAAGGTTCGCGAGTGCGTCGGAAGTATTCAAGAAGATTAATTGAAGACCGATTATTGCAAGGCAAGTCACACAGATCCTAAACACAATCCTTTGAGCATGTTGATCCTATATTTAAATTCTCTATTTATTTCAACTGTGCATTTATTTTCAAATGTCACTGGGTGGTGTGAATCTATTCCTTTGTTATGGCCTGTTTGCATTGATTACTTTAATCCTTGATACCTTGGGTTATTATAATTTGACTAGTTGAGCTTTATATATTGGTTCAGCTAGATATTAGATGTGATTGCTTAGCCATGCTTAGAAACATTAGCACACTATTGGGATAACATATGATTCATTATTATTTAATGATGGTTTAATGATGGTTCACGATGGTTAATCGTGATCGGTTAATTAATTACTTGCCAACTAAAACTTGATAATGGTGGGTTGTGAGCACATGGTTTTGAGAGTCGTGCTCATGACAATTAAGGACCGGTTCGCGAGCTACTATTGTGAAACATTAACCGTGCCAACCACAAGCCAGCGTGGGCAACGGCTTTACCTTTTGTATAACATGATTCATTGCGGAGCACCAGACTGAGAAGTGGCGGAGATAAGCCCACGGGGGTCACTGGGGAGTCCATGCCTTGTTTTATAAGGGGGTGATTATGATCCAGGAATGGTGCACTGTGGTGAGTTGTGTTATGCAGAGGGTATTGTCACAGCCTCTATTCGGGTACTTTCCAGTATCGCGACGCATGGTAGACATGATGTTGAGGCTGTGTCTTGTGGGTACAGTGGTACACCTCTGGCCAGAGTAAAACTATTCGAATAGCCGTGCCCGCGGTTATGGGCGAGTTGAGCAATGTTTTTCGTGATTAGTCCCACACCTCCCACAATAATTATGGATGTTATACCTGGTAATAATTTGCTTAGCTCCTGGTTTGGAGTTAGATCTGTACAGCCGGGTATGGTTGTTCAGGATGGTTGGGCCTGTGCAGCATGGGTGTGCTGTTCAGTGTTGATTAAAATTTCTGATTAACTACTCCACTGTTTTATTTCACTTAAATGTTTTGCTAAATGCTGCTTTTGCAAATGAGGCTATATTATGCCATCCTTTGGTATCCTTGTGCACTTGCATATTTGCTGTGTGGCTTGCTGAGTATGTCATATGCTCACCTTGCAATAATCAATCAACCTCAGTTGAAGAAAAAGGATCCAGAAGGAGAAGACGTTTGGCTTATACCCCAGTTGAGCTGCCTGTGGGAGTGGAGCCGGAGCTTCGCTAGAATTTATTTTCCGCTGCAATTTTCTTCCTGGTGAGGACTAAGTGCCTCATAAGTAAGTATTTATCGTTTTAGTTAATTTGATGAATCTGTATATTAAATTGTCAGTTTGTGCACCTCGGCTGATTCCTGGACGAGGATTTTATGCACAAATAAGTTCGGAAATTACTAGTGAATTTCCGGACGTGACAAGTTGGTATCGGAGCCATCTCGACTGTAGGATAAGTCAAATGGTCAAACTTTAAGGACGAATTTTTCCGACAAAAATGATTTGTGAAAATTTCTCCTTTCTTGCTTATCTAGAATTCTTTACAAATTGTTTCATTGTCTACTCCCGTCTCTCTTTCAACTTGAGTAGTTCTGAGACATTGAAACTTGAAGACGCCAATGTGGTCTACTTGTGGAGGTTAAGTCAAGTGGATCGATGAATAAGAAGGTGATGGTCGATCTGAAGTGCCCAGATGTCAAGATGGAATGAAGTTGGCATCCTACCTTAGAACCTATGCCGCCAAAGTGTCGTTGAAGAATAGTTAGTAGGATAGAACGTTTGTTGTTTGCTTTGTGTGTAGGTATGGTTGCATTCCCATCATTGGAGTAGTTCAGTGATGAGCATGTAATTATACTAGGTTGCTTGCTTAATCAACTTGAACAATATAATGGTCTACACACACCAGATCAGTGGTAACCTGGTTAAGGTCTTAACTTTAGTGTAACCTCTCTCCTTCTATCTTCTCTAATATGCAACAGATGGTGAACACTCGCGCTAGTGGAAGTGGAAACAATAACAATGAAGGGAACCCAACTCTTGCTCAAGTTCTGGCTCAACAGACTCAGTTAATGAACATGATGATACAGCAGATGCAGAACCAGCTCAACCAAGGAAACAACAATGCTCCACCGCCGCAGAATAAGCTAGCTGATTTTCTTCGTGTGAGGCCACCTACCTTTTCTAGCACTACCAACCCAGTGGAAGCAGGTGATTGGCTGCACGCTGTTGAGAAAAAGTTGGAACTGCTCCAGTGCACTGATCAGGAGAAAGTTGTTTTCGCTTCACATCAGTTGCAAGGATCTGCTTCAGAATGGTGGGATCATTTCCGGATGAACAGAGCAGAAGGACAACCAATCACTTGGGCGGAGTTCACGGAAGCATTCAAGAAGACACACATACCTGTAGGAGTTGTTGCTTTGAAGAAGCGTGAGTTCAGGGCATTGAAGCAAAAGGATCATACCGTGGCAGAGTATCTTCATGAGTTCAATCGTCTGGCACGTTATGCTCCGGAAGATGTGCGTACTGACGAGGAAAGGCAGGAGAAGTTCTTGGAAGGCTTAAAGGATGAACTGTCAGTTACGTTGATCTCCCGTGACTATGTTGATTTTCAGCAGCTGGTTGACAAAGCAATTCGACTTGAAGACAAGAAGAACAGGATGGATAACCGTAAAAGGAAAATGACTGTATTCCAGGAGGCACAAGGTAGTAGCCAGAGGCAGCGTATCAAGCCACTCCAAATTGGTGAATCTTCTTCCGTTGGTCAAGGACAATCGCAACAGTTGAATATCGGTGGTGAGATCAAATCAGAGACTAATGAAAGCAATGAAGTTAACATCGAGCAAGCTAATCAGCCGGTGCCAGTTCAGCAGGATCAGTCTCAAGAGAATAACAGTAGTGGAAGGGAGCAGCAGGTATGTTTCAACTGCTACAAGCCGGGCCACTTTGCAAGAGAGTGTCCGAAGCCGAAGCATCAGCAGCCG